CTTCCTTCTCTCGTTCACGTTATTTCCTGTTCACGTCCTCACGATAATTTCTCCTGCTTTAGTATTTAGTATGTACGGTCCATGCTACCCTTACTCCTGTACCTGTTCAGCTTGGTTCTTTGCTTCCCGCCCCCTCCCTGTGCTGCCCCCCCCCCCCCGCCCTACCTGTTAGGTCTTTAGCTTAATCATCCATGTCTGCTTGTACTAGATTGTTCCCCTAAGAACTCTGTAAGCCCCAGAGTGAAACTGATTTGGATTTTACAGCCCTGGTGATTTTCCTTCTGGTGTACTACCAAGAAAATGCTATATAGCACAGGAGCTGATGAGTCATTTTGTAGGGCTTTTGCTTTCTATTTTGTGTTTGAAAAATTAGGTATGATCCCGAACCTGGAAATGTTTCTTAAAATCAGGTGGATAATAGAACCGTAATATAAAATCATCAGTGTTAGTTTTGGTCTCTGATTAATGTAATATATTGTGATTTTTGAGTAACTTGAGTTCCCCAATAAGCATTCATTCATGTGAAATTTCATTTTTGTACATTTTCATTGCTTGTACTGGAAGCTGACTAGAATTACTTGGCACCTGCTGCTCTGTGTCTGGCGTTGTTCTGGGGACCTTACACCTGTTAGACCATTAAATCATCACAGCAGGCTTGTACTGTAGGTCTGGATTCTCCCATTTTACTGAAAAGAGATCGAAGCCGAGCGTATTGAAGTAACTTTTCATAATGCCTCTCAGCTAGTAAGGCTCAAAGCTGGAATCTGATCTCTGTTTGTGTGGCTCCGATTACAAGAGGCTCCCCAGTTGGAGATAAACATGGGAATGTATTAAGGCTTCCTTTTTGATTTGGACAGTCATATGGATGAGAAATGAAGCCAACTCCTATTGGTTGAGATGGTAGGCTGTTGGGAATTAATTCAGCTTAGTATTGAGTGCAGTCTCTGGCAAGATTCCAGGCTTCTATCACATAGTTCTGCTGGATGAAGGGTTGCCTTGATCATCAATAATTTCATTTCTACATAGTATAGTTCCGTTGCCTAAGGGGTTGACTTGTGAGAAAATAAATTCATTGAGGTCACAGTGTGTGTCTCCCCCAGTTTATCTGAAGCATCGCTGGCATGGTTATTTTATCTTCTAATTCCTGGCGTTTGATTCAGGGCCATGATTTCCAAAGCTGGTCCCTTGGCTGGCCTCCACCATCTGCCATTTGTTGCCGCCTTCTCCTCCCTGTTACATACCCTCCCCCCCGACTGATAGTGGCTTCTGAATCCAATCTCCTGCTTCTTCAGTCAATCCTAAATATTGTCAATCCTAGTGATTTTTTCACAATACTAACTTTGCGTCCAAATGCTATTGTGCTTCATGTCATACTCTGTGATTCCCTTTATATAATGTTCTTGAAATGATAAAATTATAGAGATGGAGAATTGATTAGTGTCTGCCTGGGGTTAAAGATGTTGGGATGAAGGGAGACAGGTTTGACTCTAACGAGGATAGCATGAGGAAAATCCTTGAATGATCAAATAGTTCTGTATTTTGATGTATGATAGTGAGTACATGATGCAAACATGATAAAATAACGTAGAACTATATGCAAACTTTATCTAATGTCGATTTCCTGCTTTTGTTATTGTAGTATTGGTATATAACATGTAATTAATGGGGGAACCTGGATAAAGGCTGCATGAGACCTCTCTGTGCAATTTCATGTGAACCTTTAATTATATAAAAATAAAAAGTAAAAAAAAATACTATTGTGCTTTAAAATGTTTAAGTTCCTATGTCTATCATATTGGTTATGTTTTATATTCTTTGCTTCCTCTTACATTAATCATACAAAATCATCTCCTAATTTTTTTCTATCTAAATCATAGTTAAACATTGACGCAATATTTGTCTTTTATCGGGTTACCAAGAAATGCTTTTTGAGTTAATTAAACAATGAAATATACTTGATGAAAGAAGAGTATATCAGTACTTGGTCTCATTACTAACCATCTTGTTTTCCTATTCACTTCCTTATGCATTCTTGCCTTTGTGTCATTTCTTTCCATGGACTAAGCAGCATGCCAGGGGTTTGATCTGAGGAGTCTGGAAGACTTGGGGTTGCCTGAAGGGGTTGCACAGCCTGTGGCCACAGTCACATAGCCCTAAGTCCACTCACAAATTCTAAAATTAGTCCTAAATTCTAAAAATAAGTCCTCCTTGAGACCTCAAGACTTAGTGTTATAAGACCAGATGAGCCAGGAAACCAGGATATGAACTATGGTGAAACACAACCGTCCATCCACTCATATTTACTAAGACTAGTTTTATAGTGCAGTGTACGATCTTTCTTGGTGAATGTTCCATTCATGTGTACCTGAAAAGAAAAGGATACACTGCAGTTATAGTTGTTTTTTTTTTTTTTTTTTTTTTAATGAAAATCTGTTTCAGATCTTCCATGTCTTTAATGATTTTGGGGGGGTTGTCTTGTTGTATTAATTACTCAAACTATGATTGTGGAGTTGTCCCTTTCTCCCTTTATCTGTCAGGTTTTGCTCATGTATTTTGAAACTCTGTTGTTAGGTGCATACACATTTTTTATTGTTGTGCCTTCATCCCGACAATTCACCCTTTTATCATTATGATCTCTTTTTATCTTTATCTTGAAGTTTTTGTTATTAATTTAAACACTTGAATCTTATGCTTACCCTTTGCATGGTATAAATTTCCCCCCTTTACTTCCAATTATATTTAATGTGGATCTCTGAAAGACAGCCTAGAATTGGATCTTGTTTTTTTTTTTTTTTTGTTTTTTTTTTTTTAATCCATTCTGGCCATCTTTGCCTTTTTATTCAGTGTAATTCGAACATTAGCGTTAAAAGCAATCCTTGTCAGGCACCATTTACTGTTTGTTTTTTATTTGTTCCTTCTGTGTTTTGTTCCTCTGTTCTTGCCTTCTTCTGGATTAAACATTCCAAAATGATTTTAGAATTCTTTCATCTAGTTATTGTTTTTTAAGGTTTTTTTGTGCTTGTTCTAGGGAATACAGTGTATCCTTAATTTTTCTTAGGGTTATTGTTTAGGGTTAGTATTACAATGTTTTATTTAAGATGTAAGAATCTGGAAACTGTATATGACCATTTAACCCCTCCCTGATATCATGCTATATTTGTCATGTGTATTACATTTACATGTCTTATAAATCCCACAGTGAAGTGTTAGAATCTTTAAACAGTCAAATATTTTTAAAACATTAAGAGAAAAATTACAACTTCTGGTGCTCTCCATTCCTTCTGGACCTTTGATTTTCTGATATCATTCACCTGGAGAACTTTGGGATTTCTTTTTACTTATGTTTGCTAGGACAAATACCCACAATTTTCTTTTATGTATAATTTTTAAAATTTATCTTCATTTTTAACGATCTATGGCCTGGATATAGAATTCTGGGTTCATAGTTGTCAGCCCTACCTTATTCCCCAGCTCTTCATCATTGTACTGTCCTCTGTTCTCCATTTCTTATGAAAACATTGATTCTTACTATTTTCCTGCATGTAATGTGTCAAGGTCTTCTCCTCTTTTAAAAATGTTTCCTTATATTTGATTTTCAGTGGTTTGACTCTCTGTAGCTGGATGCAGCTTTCTTTGCACTTGCTCTGTTCAGGGTTTTCTGGGCTTCTTTAGTTTGTACATTGGTCTTTCACCCAAATTGGGAAATTTTCAGCTCTTTTTATCCCCTGTATTTTTCTCTCTCTATTCACCTCCTGAAACTTTAGTAATACAAAATGTTTGCTCTTTTGCTACTGTCCCACAAGACCCTAATCACCTGTTTCTTCTTCTTTGGATTGGATTTTCCTTTCTTGTTTCCTTAAGCATATTTATATTAACTGTTTTAACATCACTGTGGGCTAATTCCAGCACTTGGGTTAAATTTCCACTTGACTATAGGTTAGATTTTCCTGCTTGTTCATATGTCAAGTAATTTGGGTTGTATTGAATTCACTTTGTGAATGATACTTTGCATCGACTCTATTCTGTATGTTCCTTCAAAGAGGATTGAATTTTTGTTTTTGTTTTTGTTTTTGTCTTAACAGCCAGTTAATTTGGCTGAACTTAAACTAAATTTTGACTTTTCTCTGGCAGGCAACAGTTCCCCTGATCCATTCAGAAAGCTAATATTGAATAAGTGCTGAGAGTCATGTAGCATAATAGGTGACTGTGTTAAAAATAAAAATAGACATGGACCCTTACCTCAAGAGACTTACAGTCTGGCTGATCGAGATAGGAAAGTGAACTTATAGATAAGCATGGTAACTTTTAATACGTCACTGAGATAATATCTGGAAGCAGTCAGGTTACTGAGAAAGGAGTTGTGAAATTGTTAAAATGTAATTTAAAAACTATTTTTAAAGCAACCCAATCCTTCTGAGAACAGGAGATCATGTATTTATTACATATCATGATGTGGCTGATGAATAACTATTAGTTCCACTGGCATCCTGTTGTTAATTCTTTGAAGGAAAGGACACAGGGCATGTTTCAAAAGCACAGCATATTGTGGGGAAGCAGTATTAAAAATAAATGCTTAAATTCTGAACTGCCATACCAAATAGGAGGAATACTTTATGTTTGGTTAAAAAAAAAAAAAAGAGAGAGATTTGATAAAATCTGAGTGAATGACACATATGGTCATAGCTTAGGGAATATTTGATATTGCTGAGATTAAAAAGACCTATCTATACTAAAGGTACCACTGTTGGGAGAAAAATATTTCAAAAACCATTTATACTCATGGAAAATATATCTTAAAATCCTGTAAGTTTCCTGTGTCAAATACCAAGGAGGTTTTTTGGTTTATACTTATATTTGTACTCATATCTGTAAAAATGAATGTCTCTACTATATCTGTAAAAATGAATGGGTAATGTGAGGTTGGTTTTTATTTTGTAAAAACATTTACCTTAGTGGTAATTTGAGCCTTTCTTTTCTCTTTTTCCCCCCTGTTTTAACAGTGTATCCTATTCAGTACATGTGTCTGAAGATTACCCAGGTATGCTTTTCTTCTTTCTATTTTTTATTACAAACACTCGTGTCATGATTTCTTCGAATGTTTCTTTCTATTGGAGATGGGGAATGTATATAAATATATCTAAGAGTGAAACGTTCACAGGAAGACTTGCAGATCTAGAAGAATTCTGTTGGATGCCTGTGAGATGCATGTCTTACCCTGCGATGCAGTCCAAAATCAAAATAGTTTCCTGATGAAAAGTCATGTACTTGAGCCCATGTGATAGCTTCCGCCTGTGTATGTTTATGTCATTATAAGTAAAAGAAAGAGTCCTGAACCGGTTTAGTTGTTGGATTTGCAGCATCATTTGGCTTTTTATAATGTAAACAGAACAGGTAAGAAGAGCAGCTAAACTAATAGCTAAAAATAACAATAGCTAAGAATAAGCCTGTCTTCATTTTTCTAAGTATATAAATGATTACACATTTCTCATAATAATCCTATGAGATTGTTACCATAATATCACCATTTTCCTCCTGAATGGTGACACACCTAGTAAGAGGAAGAGTTGAGACTTGAACCCAGTAGTCCAGAACCTACGGACTATACCGCTGGACTAGACTGGTATCTGGTATATACACGGCTATTCTCACTGTGAGTCTGTCTCCTGAAATGGATTAGAAGGCCTACAGATACTTGTCCCTAGAAGACAGAATGTAAGAACACTGCAGATGTTAATCCTTTTTCTGTAAATCAGACAAGTATTTTTCTTCTAGGCCTTGGTCAGTCCTATTTTCTAGATGCATGTCATCTCATAGAGCCCAGGCTGTGGATGCTAACATTTCAGTCACAACAATGTGAAAAGACAAACAAGATGTTCCTCTTTAGTATTTTCCTCACAAGTGATATCTATAATTATATTTTGAATAAGAGCATAAGGATTGCAGAAGTGCAGAAAAAATACAACTTGATTAGTTTACCCTCAGAGCAAAGAGTATAATGCAGAAATCTATTGTTTATTGTATTTTGTGGCAAAGAACAGCAACTCTCTCTCCAACACTCTGACTTACTCAAATCAGACGGTCACCAAACTATACTGTTGTGATCTGCAAGTATCATAAATTAGAATCAATTCTTATTCAAATCTAGCCATTTTATTCACATACAATGCATGATTTGGATCATATTTTTCTATGTAAAATTACTACATTGCTATAAGTAACTTTGATTATATGTACTTGGAGTATTTTTAAAAAATTAGTTCATAAGGTAGTATGAAGATCTCCCTTCTTTAACATTTAGGCTAGGATTTTTTGTGGCAGTTTGCATCATACATTTAATCATGCATTTTTTAATAATGTCAAATGTTACATTTAAAAATAATTTCATAGGGATGCCTGGGTGGCTCAGTTGGTTAGGTGTCTGCCTTTGGCTCAGGTCATGATCCTGGGGCCCCATATGAGGTTCTCTGCTCAGGGGGGAGTCCATTTCTCCTCCTCCCTCTGCCCCTCCCCCTGCTCATGCTCTCTCTCTCTCTCTTTTCACTCTCACTCTCTCAAATAAATAAATAAATCTTTTTTAAAAAGTACCATGGTTAACATTATCAAACATAAATAAAAATAATTTTATAAATCATAAACTCCCTTACAATTATTTTGCTATGATCACCACACGTGTTAAGCATAGTATTCTTTAAGACTATCGTATAGTTTTACAAGGGGGGGGTTATTCATTATTAAAGAGATGCTTATTTTTTGATAATAGTATATAAAGTGTTCTAGGCAGATTTCATTGGAAGTAGCAAGACAAAATAAAATATTTATGAAGAAAAATTTTTGTAGTTGATTTTGCAGTCAACTCTCGCCCTTGTGATATTTTTGATGCTGAGTGTTTGCCAAATAAGTATGTTAGGAAAATAAAAGTTAACCTCACTATCATACATAATTATAATTATTGTACTTCTCATCTGAGGCAGCTCCTAGAGATGTCAATCATGAGAGGACTTTAGTTAGGGTGATAGAAATAATGGCACAAATCAAAACCCATCTTGATGACAGTGAATCATTCTGTAACACAAGAAATAGGGCAGAAGATGCCTTTGGTAAACCAAGCGAACAAAATGTTTAGCTCCCTCTTGTGGCCAAGAGGTATCACGGACTTTTTCTCGCCTTGGCGTGAGGGAGCCCCTCTAAAAATGCAATGTACAAAAATTGAAACTTGCTAAAAATTGGTTATTATTTGTGCATTTTTTTTCCTTTTAAACAAATTCCCATCCTGGAGAAAGTCTGTAGTAAATCTGCAATATAATTTCATTTCTAAATATAAAAGGAGTGTAGATAAAACACAAGTATGGGTGAGAGAGATTTGTACATTTGGGGGTAGGATTTTGAATTGGTTGATGTGACGAACCAGTACACTGTGTACCGAGTATTTCCATATACATAATTGAATTGACTTTAAATGCCAGTTTGTGTATAAGCAGAACAGAGTCTATAATGACATTTTGTACTTGAAGAAATATGCCAAGAGAGGTTAAATAGTATTTCCCAAGGACATGTAGTTTAGTGGTAAAAACCAATTCTATGTATTTTTATGGAGCTTCCTTCAAAGTGAATATTACCGTGATAATATTTCCCCATGATTAAATTTTAATCTACATTTATTTGTACCAACAGTTCAGTTAATATGCTTGATTTCTCAGGTAGATAATATTGTATAAAAATTACCTGTTTGCTCTCCCTTTCCAATAATCATCCTTGTGTTTTTTTGTCCCATTACCCTGCTAGAACTTCCAGAATATTTTTAATAATTGATATGAAAGTTGGCAGCTTTGTCCTCTTTTTTCAAAATTAGTGATCATACTTCCATCTGCTTTTAGAAAACTACTTTTCTCATTTACCAAGCTTTTTTTTTGAATGACTGTTAAGTCTTGTTTAACAACTGTTGAGTTATCATACATGATTTCTCCTTTGAACAACAAAGTAACAAGTTATATTATTAGTATATATCTTAATGTTGATCTCTAAGAATTAGATGTATTTTGTCATACACTTTGTCATTAAGGACTTGACATTGTACCTGTTCTTTGTCATTTGACAGAACATGCAAGCCAATCTCTCTGAGCCTGGTATTTTTGTTTTTTTTTAGGGAAAGTTCTGGGATTAATAATTATTTTTCTGCCATGATTATTATCTGTTCTGATTTTCTGTTTCTTAGTCATTTCTAAGCATGTGTTCTTTAAAGCTCACTATGTTGGTGAAATGTGCAACTTTCTCAGCAAGAAGTTTGCTTATAGTATTCAGTATGTATATCAGTATATACATCTGAAAATCTTGTGCATCTCTATGGCTATTTCTCCTTTCTTCTTTCTGTTGTTTTACATTTGTTCTTGCCTTTTCTACCTTCGATTTTTCTTCTCCAGAGTTTTACCTACTGTAAAATCCTTTCAAACAAATAGCTTTTTACTTCATTTTTAATTTCTGAATGCAGTAATCTTGATAGTACTTTTGTTAATCCTTCTGTTATTGTTCCTCAGCCTTTTTTTTTTTTTCTCCCTTCCTACTTTTCCTGGATTATAAGGTTGACTGATTAGTTCATCCTCCAAGTTTGAAAATTTGGAACTTTCTTTGTCCTGTGGAAATGTATGAGAATAATTCTTCAAATTCAGGATTATGTCACTCTGTTTCTCTCCTTCGGAATGAATTTATCATTTTATAATTTTAATCATTTACTAACCTCTGTCATCTTTTGAAATCAGTCACAGTTTTGTTTTTTGTGAACAAAGAGGGTCTTTGTTGAGTGTTAAGTATACCTTAAATAACATGGATATAAATGCAATGCTAAATGATATGTTGGTTCTTTAAAATAAAGTGAAGAAATAGTCCTGGTTTACTTGTATTTCCTTATGTCATTTATACTGCAGACAGATTTTTGTTTTTTTGAAAGTAAGTATATTGCAAGTCACAGATAATTGGCTCTCCTGTAATAGAACTGCAGAGTTTTTTCTCATCAATTCCCACCTTTAATTAGGAGGCTCGCCTTACTGGTGGGTGTGACTCTCTCATCCCTTTTACATGCTTTACAACATCCTGCAGCTGTTGAGTGATAATTTTTTGACATTAAAAAAGCATAGCAAAGCATTGATGTTTGGAGTCAGACGGTTTCACTACTTACGAGTCATGTGTAATTTTAATTACTTAAATAATTTGGGCCAATGGCTTAATTTCTCTGAGCCTTGGTTTCCCCATCTTTAAAACAGGGATGATAAATGAGTGGCTTGAACGTTGACAAGAAGCACATGAATAGTATACGCAACATTCAAGGGAGACATCCAGATTTTATTATAAAACCAATATAATTATAATTATATAAATTACATAGTAATGAATCCTGGAATGAGTTGGCTTAAATTATGTTGCACTTGAAATGGAGTGAAAACAATAGTTCAGGAGATGCTTTCTCATAGCTTTCTTCCCATTTCTCACCAGTTGTCCATGAGCGTTCTGCTGACGCTTGCAGAGTCTGGTAGGACAGGGAAGAGAAAATAGTCATACTGTTAACAGCCTATAATAAAGATCTTGAGGGCCTCTGCAAAACTTACACATTAAAGAACCTAACGGTCCCCAGAAGTTTCAAAAAGAAAAAAAAAAAAAATTGGCAGCTCTGGAGTTAAGTGGGAGAATTCCAGAGAAGGAATTTGAGTTTGAAAACATTCTATTCTGTCACTGACTCATTCTGTTACCTTAAGTGCATTCTTTATTCTTTTTATGTCCTACTTTCTCATGTCTAAACAAAGATGACGTTATTATTACAGATGTCAAAATAGTTTGAGGGAGGTTTAGAAATGATTATTTAAACAACAACAAAAAGAGAAAACATAGAATTCATTCATATGGCTGGGATGATCCTCAGAACACATCAGCAAACCTTCATTTTTAGAACTGAGCCAACCGTGGCTTAGTTAGAAAGGACTGATAGCTAGTTGGTAGCTGGGTCTAGACTTTATGTGCTTTGTCTGCTTCCCTGTATTTCTGTTCTTCACTTGGGTATATACCCCTTTGATCTGGCCTATTATGTTATAATGATGATTTAATAGATATTGTCTTGAAACCTGAAACATTTTGGCTTGGGTAAATTAAGCCGGAAACAGAAGTTGGAAGTGTTCTAATGCCTAAATACTGATCAAAATATAGGCTGGGAGAAAATCTCCTGGAAAATGATATGTTTGACTGCATAATCCTGTCTTTGAGCATTATGCAACATGTATTCACCAAATTTTATTCTCTTGAATCAAAGCTGACTGCCTTCCAGTATCAACACTATGTAAACCATTTCTTTAAACTGAATTATTCACTTCCCCATTTTTGTAAACAGAAAGCCCTAATTTACTTGCATCTTGAAGCTGTAGTAAAATCCTCCTTGTTCCATGACCTTGAGATACTGTGTGATACTGTGTCCATTTTATAGATTTTTCTGGATTTCCTTTTCTAGTTGGTGGTCAGCTATTAATTCTGTTGCTCTAATCCACACTTCTAATACCCTTTTTCTCCATAAGCTTGCTTCACGGAATCCACTGTGCACGGGGAGAATCTAATTCAGTTGATTCTGTAGCAGATAACTTGGAATCAGTGAGACTCTCAATGAGGCTTTCTGTAGCAGATAACTTGGAATCAGTGAGACTCTCAATGAGGCTTTAAACAAAACTCTCTTTAACTGGCTTGGATAGAGGGGTTTTGATCCCTACCTCAGAGTATGAGGTTACTGAAAGAAGAGACTCCAGATAAACGAAGTCTCAATCAATACAACAATAATTAAAATAAGTTAAATTAAAATAAATAAATAAATAAAATAATTAAAATAATTTATAATTAATTAATTAATTAAGTTTAGTTAAAATAAGTTTATCTTAAATCCGTTTCTTAATCTGTGGTCTCGCTTGATCAACACAAAAATCTCACACCCACCTTGATGCCATTTGAAAAGAAAACAAGGCAAAATTTGCAATTAAAACAAAGTAATGGGGCAAACCTGTTGTGTTTCAAATCTAATCTACGCTCATGTCCTGTTATCTTCCAGAATAACTATGAAAGCCTTGTGTCTGTTGAACATCTTTTGTGGCTTCACTGTGACTACATATAGCTCTCACTGACTCACTACCCTAGGTCTAAAAACAGTGCAGATGTTTTTTTGGAAATAAAGTAATGACTTTGATATCTATCAATTAAAGATGATGTTCTGACTATGCTGACACAATATTATGAAAACTTGGTTCCAGATCTTTTGTCGTGTACTCATTTCCTTTTGCAAAAACTGATAGAGGTTTCTCTTGTTTGTTGGGAATATTTTATGCTTTTTATTTTTATAGTCTGTGTATTTTATACAACACTGATGAGAGTATTATAGGACCACTATTAATGACTTGGTGTTTGTTAAAACAGCTCTCTCCCTGTACTTCTCAAGGAACCAACTAGAATAAGTGTCTGTGTGTTATATTATATTATATTACCACATGTGTGAAAGTTGATATTTATTAGGGGAAAACCTAAATGTATCAAATAAGTAATGAATAAAAAAATTAAGTAAGCTGTGGAATAATTTAATGTCCTATGACTACAACTCGTATAGTATTATTTAATGAAAATTCATTCATGGAGGAAGAGTTGTGAGACTTTATACTAATTTAAAAATGTGCATTAGAGTAATATGGAGGTGTGGTTTTCAACACAAACTTTAGTTCAAATTCTTTAGTGACATGATATTGAATTTGTTGTGCCAAATGTGCTAGTTTAGCTCTCTCTTTCCAACCATTAGCCTGCTTCCTGTAGCAGCTACTGATCCTGGGAAGGACCTTGTTCAGTGAGTTAGGGTAACCTCAAGCATCCCAATGATCTATTGCCCCATGGAATAGGAGAGATACATTTGGGTTATATTCTCTATCCAAAGTCTGTATTTCTCTAGGAGATGCAAGCATCTTTAGAGAGGCCATTTAAAATTAAATCAGACATATATCTGAAATACACTTATTTTTTTTCTGATATTAGTCAGAGCAGTAGTATGTGCTTCATGAGTAGTAAAAGTGATGTGGATCTAACCTCATTTTTTTAAATAAAGTGTGTCTTTTTTCAAGTTACTATACCTTTAATTGTCCACATTTCTTTGCAGATAATACGTACGTATCAAGTTCAGAAAATGATGAAGATGTATTAGTCACCACAGAGCCAATTCCAATAATTTTTCATCGAATAGCAACAGGTAACAGGAATATACTATTTTTCAAAATTCTGGGTAATTTTTCTTGAATATAGATAGCTTTATTTTTTTGTTTCTTTTAGCCTGTGTAACAGAAGAGGCAAACTGAATACTTAAAAAGCTTGCTCAGGACAATGTAGATCCCATGAAATATATAATGAGAACTGAAGGAGTCTATGTAGTGGCACTTTGGTTTGACCATATTTTTATGACCATATTTCATATTTTATGAAAAATGAGAATAGCATGTATATCATGAAACTTCCTGACATAATATAATTTCAAAATATTCCTTAATTTTCTTGTGAAGAGAGAATCTGAGGGGTGGTTTTTATACTGAAACTTATGAATGTTTGGTAAAATAGTATACTGAAAACTGAAATGATGTTTTATAACTTTCAGAATTAAGGAAGACAAATGACACTAACTGTTGCTTATCCATAAAATCCAAATTACAGAAGGAGAATGGAGAGGTATGGATATTGCATTTCATGTTTTATATTTATTAAAAAAGTAATCATATTTTAAATTTACCTTGTATTTATAGTTAATATTTAATATCATCACTGTTTTTGAGGTTAAGATCTCATCTAGCGGATGAAACACAAGCTCATGGCTGAGAGACTTAATGTGTGGGGAGGATAGTGACCTAGAATTAATTCAGAGAAGGATGCTCCCTTTAAAATAATAGAATGTCTGGTTTAAATCTAGATCAAATACATACGAAGATTTACTTATTCTTCATATGTTTGTCAAATACATAAGTGACCTAGGAGCACTTATGTAACTTACAGTTCTAACAACTATATGTGGGTATCCATTGTTTCGATGGCATCTTTACAATTTCATTTGTAAAGGGCGATCTCTTTAGCTAAGGTAGCAAAGAACATGGGTATGTAGAGTCATTATTATGGACCAGTGTTAAAACAACAACAAACTCATACCCCTTTCCTTACCTTTAAAATGTTTGCTTGAATCAGTCGATAAATACTGGGACCTTAAGCAAACAAAATAAGTGTAACAGGACCAACAATTTTTTGCTCTTAACACTCTGCACCCAGTACAACCCTCCCTTTCCCTTAGTGTTATTTCACTCCCTCTACTCTTTCTTTATTCTCAGTGAGAACCACAGATTTGGCAGTACTTCTGCTAAAACACAAAACCCAAATTCCCTTTCTGTAGGTTTTTCTTTTTCCTTAAGAAGTTGAAGTTTGTTCTAGAAATTTGGGAATGATTCCAAAACGTTGAATTAATAGATTCCTGTGTCTAATGGAATTTGCCTTTCCCCTAATTATTCTAACAGAGCCAGGGATAGGAATATCATCATTAGTTGTTTTAGATGAGTTTTCATTGTTTACACTTTAGACACATCACAGCTGTGGTTCAGTTAATTAGAAACTCAAACCTCAAGTTCAAGCATATTTAATTAAATATCCTTTTGACATCTGAAATCTAAAGCAAATAACTTCTATATGCAGAAATTCTCTTCATAATGTAATTCATATTTATTTTCGTAATTTGATTTTTTCATTATTGGAGTTTGAGTGCCTTTTATTTCATACCATTGTGTAGAGTTGGCAGTGGAAATGAGGACAGTCAAGGATAAATAGTGCTGTGGAACTTTTTAATAAAAAAGTTGAATCTGTACGAACTTGTCAGAAGGTCTAGCAGAACAAAGCCAAAGTTGTAGTTGATTATACATGGTTTTTTATGTACATATCAAATGGCAAATGGTACAAGACAAAATCGATGAAATAGAACTTGTAAAAAAGATGTACTTAGAGCTTAATGCACTGACAAAACTGTCTCTTATACTACCTTTTGTTTTTGGTTTGTACTGTACCAAGAATGTTTTTTATATAAAATCCAGGTGATAAGCACAAGATTTCTCTATTATGGCCATTTGCGACTTTCTTTTTCAAAAGAAGGCAAGATGGTTTGACCACTAAAACTTTCTTCTTCTCTTATTTTAAAGGAGTCAAGACAAAATAGTACAGTGGAAGAAGATTCTGAAGGTGATAATGATTCTGAAGAATTTTATTATGGAGGACAGGTGAGTACATCAGACCTCCCAGCTCTCCGCTCTCAGAGTCATCAGTAGCCATCTGTGTCCTAGAGGATTCCCGTGCTTGTGATCTGAGAGACCTCCGTGTTCGTTCTGTAACTGACTTGGAAATATGCATCATTTCTGTTTCTTATTTGTACGTATATTCAGAAACTAAGGTTACTTTGGCGATTCTTCGACTGTCATCGCTCACTTACATTGAATTTATCTTACTTGGTTGCAGAGATTTTGTAGATGGCATTGTATTATGTTTTTGACTTTTACATTTCTTAAGCATGTTGGGCTCCATCAGTGTTTCAAAATGATGACGCTTCTAAAGAAAGCATGGATGGTTAGTTTTAAGTAGTACATGATTAACCTTTATAAAAATTGATGGTCCCTAATTACTGAGCATCCTCAATATTTATATTCATTTTCTCTTCCTCTTTCACTGATGTAAAGTGTTTGTTGGAAAATGGTGATGTATATGAAAATGGCATAGCCACATATGCATATTTATAAAAGAATTCACTATTTTTCCAGGATAGCATTGAAATTTCAAACTATGCTATAGATTTTAGGATATGGCTGTATAAAGCATCTTGTTCTGGTTCTGTAAACTTCTTAATCAAACATGTTTTGTAACTGCATAATGGGAAGGTAGTAGATTAAAGTGGTGTTTTTTTGGGTGTCTGTTGTTAGAGAACGTGTGCATACGCTTGCACACAAGGTGGGGGGAGCAGAGAGAGAGAGAGAATCTTAAGCAGACTCTACACACAGCATGGAGCCCTACACGGGGCTTGATCTCATGACCCGAGCTGAAATCAACAATTGGATGCTTAACTGACTGAGTGACCCAGGAGCCCCTAAAGTCATACTTTAAAGCCAAAATTGTAATTGTGTAAAAGAATGTAAGTCAATTTACTTTTTTGGAGTAAAAAAATCAGTAATTAATCAAGCATAAGCAAGACAGTAGAGATATGGACATATAAATAAAAGTAGGCTGCTTCTCTCCAAGAGTGCCTTTCTAGCTGTGATGTATTTTCCTAACAATTCTCTAACCAGTGTTGCACTTTAAACTTTAATCATGCAAAAAAATTCTAGTTTTGATTTTTGTTTACACAGCTAATATTTGCAGAGGGGAAGTAAATTTTTTTTTTTTTTTTCCAGGACAGATACTCAGTCTAGAAGTTTTCAGGTTATCTGCCAGCCCCTTACTATAGTCTCTTTAACATCTGCCTTTTTCTCACATCAAAATAGTCTAATTTTTTTTTTTAAGATTTTAATTTATTTATTTGACAGAGAGAGTGAGAAAGCACAAGCGGGGCAAGTAGCAGAAGGGGTGGGAGAAGCAGGCTCCCCGCTGAGCAGGAAGCCCTAGATGGGACTTGATCCCGGGATCTGGGATCATGACTTGAGCCAAAGGCAGATGGCTAACCGACTGTAGCTACCCAGGCACCCCTCTAATTTTACTTTTCGAACATAATAAATTATACAAGACATAGGACATAAGCAAACCTACGATCTTTAGTGAATATACTGCTGTATTCTCTGTATTTTTCAATGAAGATGACAGAGACGATGTCCATGGCAGAACTTGCAGGGGGACCTGCTCAAGAGACAGTTTGTATTTGATTCTTTTGATTCTCTTCACCCCAAAGTCATTTCTGAACCATCCCTTTTCGCCAGGTGAACTATGACGGGGAACTGCACAAGCACCCCCAGCTTGAGGCTGATTTGTCGGCAGTGAGAGAGATATATGGGCCGCACGCAGTTTCTCTCAGGTAAATCAATATCTCTCTGGAATAAAAATTAAAATGATTTGGTAAGTCATTGGGAATTTTCTGTTGAGCAGTTTAAGTGGAAATATTCTTGGGCTTAGCTATATTTGAAATTTTTTGAGACATTCTGCTGTGTTTTTCCTTAGGCAAAATGGTGTATCTCTGGCTGTATCAATTTTTTTGGTTTTGTTTTTGGTACATGTGGTTTAAGAGTACATTGATGCATGAAAGAAATTAGTTATTTTGGAGAGTTAGTTTGATAAAATATCAGTCTTAAGTAGTGTCATAATTAATTCCTTAGTAGACTTGGCCAGCTGGGCCCATGCAGTCAATCATAAATCATGGACACATCGTGTGAACAATGAAAGTAAATAATGCATAACCACTGGTCTTCAGATCACATCCCAATGTTGTTAGAGAAGGGAATTGAAAAAAGAAAAGGGAATAAAGGTTTCCCAAAAAAGAAAGGGAATAAAGGACATAAATTTGCAGTGTTTGTTTGATTAATACTGTATTTTATCTTGCAGTCACTTCATGTATAATTTGGTGATAAATTTAAAGACCGCTGTTATCATTTTTAATTATTCAGAAAACCCCAGTATCCTTACCTACCATTTTCTCTCCTTAATTTAAAAAAGATACTCTTTCCTGTCACTATCGTCGTCTCCCTCCATGAGTCCGATCTGATTATTTCAGATTCCTTTTCTTTGCCTAAAGGGCAGCCTCCACGTTGCCTCGGAATTCCAGATCCCAACCCCAGCCTGACATCGGTTCCCGCCTCATCCACCCAAACCACAACTGTCCCCTCTCTCCAGACACGCTCTGTTCCCTCTTTGGGCGTTTGCACAAGCTGTTTGCTCACCAGTGAGGGCTTCACTCGTAACCCTGTTGGTGTCTTTATTCAAGCCAGACTCCAAAGGCCAGCTTCTCCTGCGCAGCCTCTGGATTTCCAGTGCAGACTTGTCGTTCTACCCTCAGACTCCCATCGCATTTGGCTTTCACCTCATTTGTTACGCTTCTCAGCTTCTCCTGTCTTATCATTATTGGTTTAGTTCTCCCCATCTAGACCCTAAATTCTGTGAATGTGGGGACCGTGTGCTTTTTTGTCGGTTTGCTTTATTTTGTTCTGTTTTGGTTTTTTTAATCATGCTTATATTTTGGTACTTAATACAGCACAGGGAGTATATGAAATACGGGCTGATGGATTCTGGATAGTTTGTAGTGGCATCCATGAAAGATGTTCACATTATCTGGTTACTTTCTCTTCCATGGACATTCTTCAGAGAGCCAACCAATCTAGATTTTCAGAGATTTTCAGAGAGCCAACAAATAGTTGGGAAGTACAGTAAGTACAAGTTGGGAAATACAATACAAGTACAAAAGTTGGGAAATACAATACAGCTGTAATTGATCACTATCAACGGTTTCATTTTAACTTCAGAAACAAACTCACCACCACCTGCCCCCTCAGTAAGTTGGGGGTAGAGACATAGATCTTGTCTGTCCTACTCATGGTGCTCTGGTCGGCTGCTGTGGACTGAGAGTGATTGGGATTATACTTGGAAAAGCAAATCTTTGCAGTTTTCAAGGTTTTAGCAGATTGGCTGCAATTATTTCTCAGTTGATGTCTACTGTGGCTCCTGGGTAGAGGATATGGTATTCAATAAGTGCGTTAGAATGAATAAATGAAGAAGGCAGTAGGGATTATCCATAAGTGGTCCAAAACAATGATTAATTTTTTAACTTGAGACAAAATTTGTTTGACCACTTGAAACTTTGATCACAATAATTTAATCCCCTCCCCTGCTTTAAAAAAAAAAGGCTGGGATAGAGTTAATCATATAATACAGTAAGTTCAATTTCTTTTAATTTGCACTACCTATTGTTTTGGGGATTGCCTTAGCACATGTTGATTGCTTTTATAAGCATTTATAAGGATTTTTCTTAAACACATATTTCCATGTTAAGCCGTAAATACATTGCCATATATATATATATATATATATGTAATTTTTTTGTTTCTTCAGCAAGAATTTAAGTACCAGCGATCATCTCTATTAGTGTTTTCCATTATTAATAAAATTATTGATAATTTATCTACTCTTTAAATTAGATAAATATTTGTAAGTTCATTCAAATGAAATATTGAAAGTCATAAATGGCTTTGATTTTTTTTCTCCTTTCCTATTTCACTTATAAGTTTTGATTCAACTTAAATCTTTTTGAATATGAGCCATGTTCTTGCCTGCTCTAGACTTTCTATAGCTACAGAGGATGTTTCCAGAATAAAGAATCTCCCAGAGGCCTCATGATGTGAAGTATGAATCACAGTAAGACTAGTCTGATTTACTTGAAATAAATACAAATGAATTTACTGTCTAGTATCAAATACTGAAGCTTGGACACATGGCAAGAGAAGTAGTTAGGCAGAAGGTCTTGGACTCTTCTTCCTTACAAAGTTCTAAGCCTGTTGAAAACAGACTGTTGTAATTAGCTGTTCTTTTACTTAATTGAGGTTTATAAGAACTTAATGGAGTTTGAAGAACAAAAGTACCTCAATATGCATAGTAGGCTATTTGGTGTCATTTTTTTTTTTTTAATGTGATGTCTAATGAGAAGGGCAGCTAACCACATCTAAGTTCTCTGTAAGAGATGAAAATAACTGGCATTGCCTCACTTGAGACAGAACCTCTTAAAGTAGGTTGAAGGAGGAGATAGAAATGGGGACTTATGGCCAGTTCATTACTGAAGGAGGTAATTTCAGCTCTATGTGGCCATATCATTCAAAAACAGAATCCTGGCTGTGTTGAGCCATACTTACACTGATGAGAATTCCAGTTCATACGCTTTTGTATTGAAGTGAGTTAAGTATCTGGAGAAACAGGATAAACTATCAGTTTATCAGTCTGAATGAACATGTCTCGCCTTGAATCATGCAGCAAAGTGAGGGTGTTTTATGTGTTTCATTATAAATTTTCTCCTCTAGTCATTACTTTAAAAAAAATGATCAGTGCCATCTGAAAACAATTTGAGGTTAATAGTTTTAGAAAGGTGTGGGGAATTACAAGTCACAAAATTCTCATGTGGTCAGGAATGAAATGATTCTGACAGTTTGCTTGTGGTATTTCAAACGTCTAGCTCATATGAAATAACCTTTGCTTTATGATCATACCACCTTCTGTTTTAAAAGTCAAAGCTACTGAGTAATATTCTAGCCTTTTTATGGTGACTAAGGCTTAATGAAGGTTGGAAGATTGCAAGATTGTAAGTCTTTTGTACTTGTTAAAAAGATTTTATTTATTTGAGAGAGAGAGTGAGAGAGAGAAAGGGCATGCATGCTTACGTGAGTAGGGGGGAGGGGCAGAGGGAGTGAGAGAAACAGACTCCCTGCTTAGCATGGGGGCTTGATTCCCAGACTCTGGGTTCATGACCTGAGTCAAAGGCAGATGCTTAACCAACTGAGCCACGCAGGTGACCCATCTTTTGCATTTTGATCACCTTTTGTGGATGGACAATTGTAATAGGGCCTTTTGGAGTATATGTTCTGGAGGATAGGGCATACTGAGGAGTTTTTAAGGTTGAGGAGGTTATGCTACTATATTCAGGCCCCCATACTTCCTTGAGAGAGGGAAGAGGGGAGAGAAAGATAGAGAAAGGAGCGGATAGGGGAGGGAAGGGGAAAAAGCCACACAAATCAGGATTTCTGCATTTCCATTTGTGGTGACCGGTAGGCTTACTTACAGATCTTCTGGTTCCTGCCTTCTGGTATTTGGCAGCATTTTATTTCCCTGCCCCTTTTAATGTGATGAGTGGACACAGCTACCTCTGGCCAGTGAAATGTGAGCGTGAGCTCTGGTGCAGGAGCTCCCGTTTCCCCCGGACTCTGTCACTCCGGGCTCCTGAGTGACCACAATGAGTAGCAACTCCCCTTCCTCCCTCCAAGTCCATGGTAAACGTGTAGCGTTAGGGAGATACAAATCTTTCTTGTGTGCTCAACCACTGAGAGTTGAAGAAGTTTGTCATTGCAACATAATTTAACCTACGTTGAAGTACGTCATTCCTCAAAAGATCTGGTGTTGGGTATTTGTAGCGTTCTTTCCAGCTATGGATTCTCCCACTCCTGCTTCTGAAGCCTCCAGAAAAATGGTCTGACTGAAAACCAGGGGAAGTGGTAACAGGAAGCACCTAGAAGAAAGAAAGGGGGGGAGAGTATTTTCTGAAAATACTGGCTCATAACCTAGACGAAAGCTTCAGAATGTCAGATCCCAGACAGTCACCCCTATTCCCAACGCCTTTACTTTCCTAAAGCCAAACCAAGGATTTGTCAGTGGAGGGGGAATTGTAGCAACTGTATCTCTTATACAGTGTAATTTTTATCTCGGCTTCCTTTTTTATCCGGATCTAGTTTTTTAAATTCTTCTCAGTCCTGTTGCCTTTTAGAGAAACTTCAGAGCACTTTGGATACAGTCTTGCAAATGCTTTAATCTACCAAGGTTTATTTCTGACTACTGAGTTTGCATATTTCTTGGCCCATTCACAAACATCTCTCCCACACTGAGCAAAAAACACACATTGAGTAGGCATGCACAGACAGGGAATGCTGTGGAGTTTCAGATGTCATAGAAGGGGTGTGTTTCCTCACAAAATCTATTTCTTCTCAAAATGTAACTGACCAGTCACTGAATGCGAGAAATAACTAAATAGCAATAATTTTATTTCCCAAGAACCTGTGGTAGAATTTCATGTATGTGTGTATAATGTTTAATTTCCTTGACAGTTAATAAGGGAAGGCTAGATATCTAATAATATTTTTATAACCAGCACAATCACTGCTAATTTTGATCAAGTGGTGTTATAAAACATCACGACAGTATAATGAATAAGCCGTAGTTTTATAGAGCAAGGAGGACCAGCAGGGATGGTCTAACATTTACTATATTGTGAACAAGGATGTTGTGTCTCCCTAATGAGCGTGTTATCTTGATTAGTTCCATTAAAAATTAGGAGAAAAAATTGCCAAGAATTCTAATACATGGTGCCCTCAAAAATACACGTTCATAGAAAAATACATTTCATACGTATGTTCTTAAATGAACTAGGTCACGTATAAATATCCAAAATCAAATGACCAGATTTCAAGATGCATTGATTCAAAGAGTAGCTCACATGTCTGGAGAAAAATTTGTGAAGCGATCTTTTCTCAGTTCCAGGGTATAACAACTACATCAGATCATTTCTATGTTGTTCTCCTTATCTTGAAAAAGCATTCAGGTTCAGTTTGATGCGATCTTTTCACAGTGAATAAATATAGGCAGTGCATGAAATTATTTTGAGTTATTATAAACCCGATACAGCATTCAGGACACAATCAGATATCTGGCTTCATAATTCAAGTTGCATTCATATTTCAGGCTTTTGACTTGATTCTGCATTTGCTATTCATGAGATCCGGGGCAACTGAAAGTTATTCAGATATAGAAGCAATCCTGATGACTGGGTCGCTGCATCTGGACAAACTGTAATCACGCTTTGTAATCTCGCAGTGGGAAATGTGAAATTACGGGCATTATATAAAAAGGGCATCACAACGGAAATTGGTTTGCATATACGCAGCGCTGTTGTGAATTCTTTGAAGTGTGTCATAAAAACAAAAAGTGTAACTATTTACAGATCTACACCTGCAGAATCCAGTTAATTGCAAACCTTTAATGCCTCTGCCTTCTTAAAATTCTGTTTGTGTTCTGTCTTTGTGCTCTGCTGTGGCGGGGAAGAGCACTTATAAACCTTAATTTCCTTCTTTCTGTTGTTGTTGAAATAAATTGACGGTGTTAGAAATTGGGAAAACACTAACCACAAAAATGTTGAAGAAATCATATAAAGAAGACTTAAAAATTCACATATTAAACTTTTTAAAAGAATACATGTCACTTTCTGATCATAACTTTATAATAAATTCTGCTGAAGTGGTTTGGAAATCTCTGAAGAAAATAGCTGTGGGTAAGGTTCTTACTGATTTTTCTTGTCTCTGATTCCCTTCTTTCTGCCTCTGATTGCATCACACTCTGGCTATTGTAACTAAATCCAAACCTGAGTTATTCTCCTTTGGGAAACTGGCAGTGACTGACCAGAGCAAACGAACACCTGGAGATGATGACAATGTGGGGAGTTGTCACTGTGATAACCTGGCTGGTGTGATTAGAAATGGTTATAACCTTTTAAAATAGTAATTAGATGACATATATCAAGACTCCCAAATATAATTATATTATTTATTTTGTGCAGTAATTCTAGAAATTATTCTTTAAGAAGACAGATGCACATAAATTTTTATCCAGAGGACTTTTTATCAATATTTACAGTGTAAAAAAAAAAAATCAATAGCGCCCCATAATTGTATCATTGTTTTATTATAGAATTGTATTTATACAAATACAACCATTTAATTCGATGATTTGGAAGAATATTTAATAGAGAAAAACACTCATTTTAGAAGAAGTGAAAGAAAGAGGAGGACAAATTTTTATATATAAAAATATGGCATGAGATACAAGCAAATACATGGAATGAGATATAAGCAAAGATAATTACCTCTGAGTGGTAGTATTATAAGTTGCTTTTGTATGTTTTTCTGACATTTTATAAAATGAGCTTATATTACCTTTGTAGTCAGAAAAAGGAGATATGTTTTTAGAAAACCCATTAATTTTTTATAAAATTTTATTTATTTATTTGAGAGAGAGAGAGATAGATATAGTGAGAGAGAGCATGAGCAGGGAAGAGAGGGAGAAGCAGTCTCCCCACTGAGCAGGGAGCCCATGTGGGGTTTGATCCCAAGACCGTGGGATTTTTTTTATAAAATAAATTTTACCCACAATCTACAGTTAATAAATAAATACCTTCTTCTTTTTTTTTTTTTTAACTTTTTTGGTTTTTCTATTTCTATTTAATTTAAAAAAGAGCATTTCAGTTTCCATACATTTTTGGTAATCTACTTGCTCCAAATAGTATATTTTGGAACATATCCCTCTGGATAGTACATATTTTTATATCAATTTCTTTAGTAATGGTTAAAAAATTTTTCTGATGTATCAGTGTCCTATGGTTTATTTAAGTGTTCCCTTGTTATTTAATATTCATTTCTGTCCCCAATTTCTGCACTCACAAACATCTTTCTAGGCAGAAGTTTACACATACTTGTTACAGGTTCACCCCACTGGAATGTCTACGGAACATCATTTGTAATTGGTCTTCATCACCACATTTAGTGGTTCTTTCTTTAAATTTGCCTACACAAAACATGTTTGACTTTTATATTTATGAATAATTTGCTGATGTTCCAGATCGACAAATTATGATCACTGGGTCATGGGGCCCATTTTTGAAAAGCCTGTGAGATACAGATAGTGTTTGCTTTTTAAAAAGGGTTTAAAGAAAAACAAAAACAGAGGAATTTGTGACAGAGACCAGAAAAGGCCTGAAAAGGCTAAAATACTTACTTTCTTGACTTTTATAGGAAAAAGTTACTGACCCCTGAACCAGAGGCATTAAAGAGATGGTTTATTTGCTTGGTCCTTATTCTTGGCATAGTATTTGTATAATTTCCTAAATAAATTGGTGTATTTAAAATCTATTTTGCATATCATATCATGTGTAAATTTGCACAAGGTTATAAGTGTTCTTATCCTTTGTAATAACAGATGTTTTAAGCCATGCAATGTTTTTAAGAAATCCATTCCTATGTGAATAGTTTTTATCCCTTTTCTTTATGTAATCTAAAAATATTACCATCAAAGAATAAAAAATACAATTTCATAAATAGTAAAAATGTGGTCAGTGTTTTGATATATATTAACTTTCTAATTTTTTAAAAAGATTTTTATCTATTTGTTTGAAAGAGAGGGAGAGAGCACAAGCAAGGAGGGGAGGGAAAAGCAGACTCCCCGCTGAAGTCTAACTGGGCCATATCCTAGGGTCCTGGGATCATGAGCTGAGCCGGAGGCAGATGCTTAACTGACTGAGCCACCGAGGCCCCCCTTTAAAGTTTTTTTATTTTTTATTTTTTTAAAGATTTTTATCTATTAATTTGAGAGAGAAAGTGCACGAGCAGAGGGGTGGGGCAGAGGAAGAGGGACAACCTGAACAGGGATCCCTTTTTTGATATATTTTTAAGGGGATGATGGAGAAAGCACAGAGGCTGAGTTCTTACATTCTAATATGCTGTTTTTTGTGTGTCATAGACATAAAGAATAAAAAAAAAATACCCTTCACTTTCTTCATTCATCAAATTACATAAAACCATTTAATCATTAAAGGTGTCCTCTCTGAACCCTAGACAATTGCCACAGTTTTGTATTATGTTAGCATTATTTGAATACATAATGCACAGAAATTGTCATTGAGGACTAACTGTGTGCCAGATACTGTCCTACACACAGTTTTGAAATTGAACATGAGTTCAATGCCTGACTCCCCCACTGACATTGACTTTTTGGCATCTGATTTCAATTGTCTAAACCTCAGTTTCCTTTGAGGTTTGCAAATAAGGATAGCAATAGTATCCTCGTCATAAGACTATGATGAGGACCCCGCAAATTGCTAGTTGATTGAATACTGAACGGATTAATCACCTGCATAAATAAAGAGGATGTATGTCTTTAAACCTTGGCTCTGCTACAGAGTGATGATGGGTAAGTCACTTTGTTACTCTGGGTCTCAGTGTGTATATAAATTAAAGGTAGTAGTGGTACATGTAGTGGACTGTGGTCCCATGGATGTAAAATTCTGAGAATAATTTCTGGCACATGGGTGCTTAATAAATATTGGCAGCTACCTTGTATCATTTCACTTATCTGTATAGTTTTATTTCTCACTGTATATAGCATTTCTAACTTCATACTCTTATAAAAATATTAAAAAATACAGATTTGTGTATTTAGAGAATATGGGAAAACTATTGTTTTTACGCTCTTTCATGTATGCTGGTTTATGGCACTCCCAGGGCTGGAGAAAAGTTGGTTTCTAGAATGTCTTCCTGTGGCACATAACTGTTGTTACTTGTTTTAATTTTGATATATCAGATTTCTAGAGCTGCCTCTCAAAACACAATGACATCTAAGTGGCAAAGCCCGTGGATCCAGTCAGAGCTGGTGATGTTTAACATGGGAGGGAAAATCATGGGCACATCATTGTCATGGTGAATTCTTTCTCCACACTTTCCCCCATGAGAAACTCCTTTTTTGCCTTTGAAGCAGCTCTTCCTCTCAGAGAGCATACTGCACACCAAGTGGTCCTATGAGAGGATGGTTGAATTTGCCACAGAGAACTGGGGATGTTTGAAACTACGAAGCAAGCAGTTCTTGAATTTATGTATGCAAAAGCATGTTCGTAAAAATAGATTTCTAGACGGCATAAATAGTCACAAAAGATGACAGTCCAACTACATGAAATTAGTTAATTCATGTCCCCATTCACTTCTGAGCTCTCTGTAGAGATCAGGGAAAAGAGAGATTGAATTTTGACTTAAACGAGCACACATTATCTTTTAAGGAAAATGGAAAAATAAGTGTTAATCTTTGCTTTCAGGGAATACGGAGCCATTGATGATGTAGATATTGATCTGCATATTGATGTTAGCTTTCTGGATGTAAGTATCAATTTATACAGTATGATTGATACATTTAAAAACATTTATTGTTTTCCAACAGTATTATTAGAAAAAATTAAATATTTGTTTCTCATATTATTAGTATATGCTGATTTTGTTAAAGTGATTATAAAGAAATACAATGACTGGTTGAAGAAACACATGATATATATATTTTTACATTGGTTCTTTTAATATATTCTGAAATTTATGGTCTCTTATTATAGTACTTCATTATTTCTTAAATTTTCACTTCAATTTTCCTATGTAGAAGGCAAAAATTAAGAATACTTTGACATTCTTCTCCAAACCAGTAGGTCTTGAGGTAATTTGTGAGACTTATTGATTTTTGTATTTCTTCAAAGTAAATTAAAAAAAAAAAAAAGAGTTTCATTTTGGAAAAAAAAGAAATCAAGAATTCCATAAAATTAATTCATCTTTTAATATATTTGCACAGGAGGAGATTGCTGTGGCTTGGGAAGTGATTCGAACAGAACCTATAATTGTCCGACTACACTGTTCACTTACACAGTATTTAAATGGCCCAGGTTAGTTTTATTTCTGTGTTTATTATTTTGAATATGAATTAGTTGTGCATTGTGCATTCAACAGAATATTCATTTGGTAATCCTGAGCATAATTGCAGCTATCTTGATAATGGTATTTAAATATACTTGCATCCTAACAAAGATAGTTTATTGCCAGTATAACTTTTTTTTTTTTTTAAGATTTTATTTATTTATTTTACAGGCAGAGAGACAGTAAGAGAGGGAACACAAGCAGGGAGAGTAGGAGCGGGAGAAGCAGGCTTCCTGCCTAGCAGAAAGCCCGATGTGGGGCTCCATTCCAGGACCCTGGGATCATGACCTGAGCCGAAGGCATCTAGAAACTCAACCGACTGAGCCACTAAGGCGCCCCTGCCAGTCTAACTTTTGGAAAAAGAAACATACAACATTTAGTTGTATAGATTTCAGAAGTTGACAAGTTGCTGTGAAACAAGCAAATAAAACCTAAAAGAGAACTTTGCTTATAGTAGGGGCTCAGAGGGTGTATTTTGGGTTGCCCTTAGATTTAATTATTTATGTTTCTGATTCTGGGATTCAGTTTTAATGTTTACTTATCCCACCTTTGATTACTGATGAATTTAGCCTAACTATAAATACAACATACTTCCATTTTTGAAAATGGAAATCTTAGTAATACTTTTGTTTTCCACTATCTTAAAGGATGATTTTGTTATATCTCAAGTGATAGTTATTTACAGCAAAGGACATGATTATTAGATCTTGCCAAGACTTACTGAATTACAATATTTTCCCCTACCAGATACACATGCATGTGGGCCCACGTGCACACACACACATACACTGTATCTACTCATTTTGCTCCAGTTGCATACTGCTGAATAACAAACCACCCCTAGACTTGGTGGCTTAAAACCACCACTTACCATCTCTAACTGTTCTTCGAGCTCAGATGAGCAGTTTTTGCTTGGAGTCGCCCATGCCTTTGAAGTCAGATGGCAGGTAGAGCTTATGTCGACTAAAGGCTCTGCTAGGTCTGATGCTCAAGGTGCAGAACTTTGGGGTAGCAGTGGATGTGTGTGTCATCTTGGAGCTCAGCTGCGGCCCCTTAACTTGAGTGTTGACCTTACACATGGCCTCTTCATGTGGTTCGGGTTTCTTGTAGCATGGGTACTGGGGTCTGAAAGCAAGTGTTGCAAGAGACAGGCTGTGGATGCCACCTGGAAAAAGGCACAGTGAATCTTCCACTATATTGTATTGTTCAAAGCAGTTGGAAAACCCACCCAGAATCAAGGGATGTGGATATAGATAGCACCTTTTGAAGTCATGGCCATCTTCACACATCCTTTACTGTGATGTTGGTGCATCTTTCTTTAGGCATTTAAGAAACTTATGTCTACTATTAGCTTTTACACGAGAAAAATCCCTGACCTTCCAAGCTGATGAAATACATAGAAAGGGTGCCTGGGTGGCTCAGTTGGTTAAGCGACTGCCTTAGGCTGAGGTCATGATCTTAGAGTCCTGGGATGGAGTCCCACATCGGGCTCCCTGCTCAGCAGGGAGTCTGCTTCTCCCGCTGACCTCTCTTCCTCTCATGTTCTCTCTCTCTCATTCTTTCTCTCTCTCTCAAATAAATAAAATTAAAAAAAAAAAAAGAAAAAGAAATACATTGGAAAACTTCTCATTTTGAAAAAGTTTCTGTTGAGTCACCTCTTTTCTATTTTTGTATAATGATTTCTACTTAAATAATCAACTCTTAATATAAAAGCCTATGATTTAATGCCAGGCAAAGACAACTAGATGTTACGTATTTTTATTGTGATTATTTCAAATATATAGAAATGCAATAAAGAAGAAAAAGAATTACTCAAAATCCCTCTATAGTGAGAAACCTGCAAATAGTTTGGTGTTTCTCTTTTCTGTGCACGCTTGGCTCATTTTCATAAAGTTGACACTGAACTGCGTAGTTTATGCACCTTATTATTATGTCATGAGACTGTTCTCAAGTCATTAAATATTCAGAAATTGAATAATTTTTAATATTTGCACAATATTCCAGTTTATAGTTATATGTGTTTTTGCTGTTCCCCCAAATACTGTGCTGTATGGTTAATTATTTTTCTTTCTTTAAGGATTTGATATGTGACCATTTGGTTTTATTCTGTTTGTGGTTAAAAGAAAGAGCAGCTCTTATGTTTGAAATTTTTTTTTTTTTTTTTTTTTTTAATTATCAGGGTTAGGAACAAAATTGGGTCAGTTCATTTCTACTCACACTACTCCATCTGTGTGAGATGAGAATGTGGCATGCTTTTATGTAATCTTACCACTGTTACTCATTTTTTAAATATAATCTTGAATTTTAGGCAGAGATTTTCCTTCTCAATGTCTCTAAAGATTTGCTATATTTGCATGGTTTTGTAAATTTTTTTTTGTAAATGTTCTAATAATTATATTCTAATTCACATTTAGATGATTTTATTATTTGGTACACCTTCTTTGGTATTACAACTCATCCATAATTTAGTCCTTCTGTTTTCATTTCTATTGGTTGATTTGCCTACCTAATAGTTTATAAACCAAGGAAACATGAGGATTCTTCTTTTTTTTCAAACCTCAGAATGACTCTGATTTTGTGAATGAGACAAACTTGACCAACTATAAGTTTATGGGGTCATAATAGTTCCCCCCCAAAAAGGTAAAAATACTTTAGAAACTTCTGCTAGCTTGTGTCTGAAGTGTTTTAATTTTGTTCATTTGTAAGACATATACTTTGGTGTTGCTTGTGTTTTGTTATGTGTACTTATTGGGCTATTTTTTCCCTCTTTTTCCTTAATATTATTTTTTATGTATATATTTTCAATGGGTACACTTTGGTCTTAATTCACCTCAATCAAGTTTTATGAAGAATCCAAGGTTGAAACTGACCTAGTTAACAGCTGTTTTTGAAAAAATTCATTGCTAGGTTTTGGAAATGTATGAATAATACTTATTTGAGCTATAATATTTGATCAGGGCTAATCTGACAAAATATCTGTAAGTGAACAGGAATGATAAGAATTAAAGAAATACACCTCCTTATCCACTTTAATATTAAAGATAAGGACTATTTTCCTTGTATATGAGGAAATACATTTTAAATAAAAAGACATGATTATTCTTATTAAGTATTTTTTCAGAATTGCTCTTGTATAAGCCTAGTTTCTGATTTGAAGGGCAAGGCTGCTTTTGGTTTAATGCGATAAACAACCAACATTATTAAAAATGTTTTTCTGTACAAATAATCTCATCATTGGTACCTGTACATGTATGTGATCAGTGTTAGAATCATTTCCATGTATCTTAAGCATCCCTCACTTACTGCCTTCCCAACCTATGTTATATGAAAGACTAGGAAAAATCGAGTAACTTTCATCTTTTTTAAAACATGAAAATGTTTCTGTAGCGTATTCTGTCAAGTTCTTCCTCAGTCTCTTGTCCCTAAAAAATGAACCCTCTTGGGGAATTATTTGGTTATTTTAAGGTAACTTTTAAATAAATTTAGGAAGAATAGACATTTTTATATTCACTTTTCCTTTAAAGGAAGACTTGTTTGTTGTTTTTAGTTTTAGGTATCAGTACTGTTCTGTGTTTTTTGTTTTCTGTTTTTCTGCATGAGGTCAGTATAGCTAAATTTATTCATGAGTACTTGTTTGTTTAATGGGACTTTTATATTCCAGTTTATTTTCTAACTGATCATTAGTTATCAGAAAGCTATTACTTGAGGAAATTTTTATAAAAATTGGGTGCCTGGTGGCTTAGTTGGTTAAGTGTCGGACTCGATTTCCACTCAGGTCATGGTCTCAGGGTTATGAGATTGATCCCCACATCAGGCTCTGCACTGGGTGTGGAGTCTGCTTAAGATTCTCTCTCTGCCCCTTCTTCCTGCTCACACACACACACACACACACACACATGCTCTCTCGCTCTATCTCTCAAAAAAAATTATACAAATTAATCTAAAACATTTTTAGATTTACAGAAAAATTGCCAAGGTAGTACTCCGTGTCCCCATACACTCTGCATCCAGTTTCACTGATTATTAACATCTTCTGAATACATTCAAGTTAATTAATAGTCATAATTAATTTCATTAATTTAATAATAAGTTTTATCACTAGAATCTTGGAACATTTTTGGAAGTACCATCTTGTTAGCTCTTTTAGTATATTCTATAATTTAGGTCATCCAGATTTTATACTACTAGTTGAGTCAGTGTTTGTAACTTACATTTCCCTAGAAGATTTATCTTTTTGGTAAAATATTGATGTTTATTTTCTAGTCATTCACAGTCTGAATGAGTTTTGGTCTTTGTATCATTTATTTGTAGGAATAATTTATATATCCTGGGTAAATATTTGTGTCTATTATATCTCTTTACTCTCACTCTCTCTCTCTCTCTATGCATCTTATACAGTTTCTTCCAGTGATAATTTCAGTTCTTCTAGTGCATTTTGGATTTTTCTGCATTTTTAAAAAAAAACAGGTCCCTTTTGTTTCTCTGCTTCCATCTCCCCAGTTATTTTTTTCCATCTACCTGGAAAGAAATTGTGTCTTCTTAAATCTTCCAAGAGAGCACAGCAAGTTCCACTTTTGTCATCTTTCTCTTAAAAAAAAAAAAAAATTCTGCTGAGTTTCCAAGATGTTAGGATTTTTTTATTCATTTTTGAATTTCTGTAGCCCTAGGTTTGGGATAGGAGGGATTTGAGTGATGTCCACTCAGTTCCTCAGTCTGTACCTATGGATTGGAATGCTTTTGGAAAAGGAACTGATTGATGATTCCAGCACCAATTTTCTTTGATGAGTGGAGTGTTTGTGTCCCTGAGTAACAGCCAACCCAGGGGGTGAGGAAATTGAGGGTGCCAGTTTGGTTTCCAATATGGGACATGTGTGGTCTGAGAATGTCCTGTTAACAAGACAGTTTACCACCTCCACAGATCCAGACCACAGCATCTCTTGCCAATTACTTTAATAAGTTCCTGAATGATTCTCCCACTTCTCCCCTTGTTTTCTACAGAGATCTTATGCTGCCACACTGCTTAGTGTGGTCCTTCTCAGATCTCCGCTTCTAAAGTGATACCTTGTTCACTGCTCTGTGGCTCCACTGGTCTCTTTGCTGTTCCTAGAATATTGAGGCACATTTCTCCCTCAGGGGCAGTGCCATTGTGATTTCCCCTGGATAGGACACTTTTTTCTTCTGCCATGCTATCAAGTGCTGGAACATATTTTTCCCATGTAACCTTTACTCCAAGACCCTTTCCCTTCTTTATTTTTCCCCAGAACATTTACCACCACGTGGTAGTCTATCTGTCTGGTTTTTGTTTGTCTCCTTCCACTAGACCAAGGCTACTTGGGGACAGGGATATTTGTGTATGTGGGGGTTTTTTTGTTTTGTTTTGTTTTTTGCCATTCTATCTATAATGATTGGCACAGTGGACACTCAGATAGATATTCTTTAATAAACCCATGAAGAATGAATGGTGAGTGACTTTTTCAGAGATTATTAAATTCATAAACATCATAGTTATTAGCTTACAGAAATGCATGTACCTGGTAAAAATACATGACAGGCCCCCTAGTGAAAGGCAAGTCTCTTATATCTCATCATCCATTGTTTTATTGCAAAAAGAAAAAAAAGAGTATGTTGTTTATACAAACATGCCTCTTCCATTTACAGAATCATGTACAAACTGTCCTACATATTGCTATTTACACTTACATATTTTTTGGCGATTCTTCATCATTATACATATGATAATCTTATATGCACATATGTTATATGTTAGTGTATGGTATCTAATGACCAAGAGTGATCTCCAAAATATATATATATATATATATATATATATATAAAGCATAAATAACAATGTATAGGACTGGTATATGCTATTTTAAAATATGTATGTGTGTATAAATACGTTTTATATACTATATAATATGTAAATGTATAATATATTTATGTATGTGTACATAACGTACTGTATCATATATATTCCTTTTTGGTCTTTTCCCTTGCTGATGGTTAAGTTTCAGCTCCACATTTCGACTGATTATTTTTTCCTTTGCAGTGCCCACTGTTGATGTCTTTCAGATTTCTACAAAAGAGCGATTTGGACTGGGACATCAGCTGAAAAAGTAAGTTTTCCAAGGGAAAAAAAAAATAAATTTCTTTGAAAAAGAATTGATTTCTCATTTTGCTTACTCCTTTCCCGTTTCTTATCAAAAGTGCTTTTTGAAGTGAGCGCCTCGGGAGAGGAACTCATCTGAGGCCAAGAGCTGCATCAGTAGTGTAGCTGGCAGAGCTCCCCGCTTGAAGCAGCCGCCGTCCTTGTTTGCCTGCCCAGTTCCAGTCTCCTCCCTCCCTGCCCTTGCCTGTGGAGGCTGATCTGTGTGGGTGCAGGTTCTAATGTGTCGCTGTGGCTATAGGTAACCAATAGAGGAGGAAACAGTATAAGAAGGGAGTATTTATTGCCTTTGATTTCCATCCTAAGAGATCACCTTGAGTTGACTAACCCTTCAAATGAAGCTTTCTTCTCTGCTCTAGGCCATAGCCTATGCATAACTCTCTCTCTTACTGGGCTCCATTACAGTTACCCTCTGCTTGTTCTTGGGGCCTAGAGGTGGTAACAGTCAACAGCCACTGGCCCTGGCTGACTGCACTGTGCTTAGCTCCTCTGCTTACACTCTTAAAATGATCATTCCTTTTTTATATAAACCCTTTATTTCCTCTTTAGACCTTGTTAATGCAATTAATTAATTTATATTTTATGAGCATAAAATTACTCCAGTCAAAATGACTTTTAAAACACGGTAGCGTATAGTTAAAATTAAATTTAGTAAATCCTATACTATATACATCAGCTATAAAAATTTGTATTACTGGGACTTCTGGGTGGCTCAGTCAGATAAGTGTCTGCCTTCGTCTCAGGTCACGATCCCGGGGTCCTGAGATTGAGTCCTGCATCGGGCTCCCTGCTCAGCAGGGAGCCTGCTTCTCCCTCTGCCTGCTGCTCCCCCTGCTTGTGCTCTCTCTCTCTGTCTCACAAATAAATAAATAAAATCTTTAAAAAAAAAAAAGAATTTGTATTGCTGGAGAATTCCTAAAGGATTATTTATCCTTCTGAATATACAAATTTTACTTCAATTTAAATTTATCACTAGATTGTTATATATTTAAACACATGGTTTACACCCTCCACGATGATTCAGTTCATGCATTCACCTGTATTTTAATGAATTTAAATTAGGCATCAGACATTAGTCTTTATTGAGCAATGTTCTAAGAGAAAGTACTTTGAAATTTTTATTTCATTTACTACATAGGGAATGTATTGCAGTCATTTTACTTGAGATTATTGATGTAAGAGAAATCTTGTGTGTGTTATAAAGGGTTGTACATATTATGGAGCTCTAGAATTGTCTTAAGTTTTTATGACTTGACATTGTGCAAATGTGAGTTATAGGTGGATCACATTTGAAAGGAAATTAAGATATGGGAGTATTCTTGCAAATTCCCAGTGTTGGGTTTAAATATGAATATATAAAAACTAGATAATAAACCGTTAATGTTTTGAATTGCACATCTCTAAAACTCAATTTACAACATATGTTCAGCACATTGTAGAATGTCATGTGGCTTCTTTATAAGCACTTAAAAATTTTCTTATTTTTCTGCACTAGGATTAAGTGTGCTTTTCCAGTGGAATTGGTTTTTATGTTTGTTTTGTTTTTTGAAGATTTTATTTATTTATTTGAGAGAGAGAGAGAGAGAGCCTGAGCAGAGTGAGAGGCAGAGGGAGAAGCAGACTTCCGGCTGAGTGGGAGCCCAACCTGGGGTCTGATCTCAGGATCCAGGGATCATGACATGAGCCAAAGGCAGATGTTTCACTGACTGAGCCCCCCCACCCCAGCCCGGTGCTGCTGGTTTTTTTTAATTGGATTTTGTTTTCTGTGTTGAGCTAGTATCTTACAGATCTTGGAGCTAAGCATGGAGCCTGCCTCTATGTTACACCATCCAAGTTGATTACCACCATACCTTGGCACATCTTCTGTATTTTTTTCCCCTCCTGTGTTTTTTACCCTCACCCAATTTTCTTCCTTGTTTTTAATTTTTTTTTCTAATTTAATAACTTAAAAGGGCATTTTTAGGTTCACAGCAAAACTAAGAACAAGATACAGAAATCTTCCATAGACTTCCTGTCCCCACATATGCGTAGGCTTCCAGCTATCAATGTGTCCTACCAGAAAGGTACATTTGTTAGATGATGTTGATGTTGATGAATGTACATTGATACCTATCATCGAAAGTCCATAGTTTTACTTTATGTACTTTATTAGCCACTTAACTTTTTTTTTTAAAGTGAAATGAAGTAGGTCCAAATGAGCCAAGAATGGCAAAAATACAGAAATCTTGGAATGTGTAACTTTCTGCCTTTTAATGATGTTTGAGTATGTTGTTTGGACTCAGAAAAAGAAATGATGTGTATAATTCTAACTCTGAGAAATTAAGGAAAGCTGTGTTCTGTATTCATTGTTTGCTTTGTAGAATATGTAACATCTTATTAATATTTTCATCTAAATGTTTAACATTTTAAAAAGGTTAATTACTTCTAAGGGTAAATTTTAGTTCTATGGACAGTTTAGTATAGGGGCTAGAACTTTTTCTTAATGATTCCTGTTAAATTTTAATCTAATTTACTTTTCCTTAAATTATAAATAACTGGGTTTGCTTGTGATCCTTTCTGGTCTAAAATTACATGATTTCCAAAAATATGATTTCATCCTCACAGTAAGTCATAAGAGAAAACTGAAATATAAAGGGATTATTTTCCAGAAACATAGCAAGTTAAGAAGCCAGACTCACAATCTAGGCCTTTTGTTATCACTACTCTGGTTTGTTTTCAGCAAATAAGAAACACTCATTAAACTTTTCTGTGATTCTTTATCTGGTGTGTTTCTGGCAACTAGACGGGCTTAATAACGATTGCAGGAACAAATGCATACACAGTGCTTATTGTATGTGAAGCGCTATTCTAAGCACATTAACTCACTGGATCTTGACCTCGGTGCTATCCAGCAGGTGCTGTTACTATCCACATTTCCTAGATGATGAAACCTTGACCCAGAGAGATTAAGCAAGGTGCTAAGGTCACAGTGAGAAAGTGGCAGAGCCAGAATCTGACCTCAGATCAATACTTTTGACCCATCCACCAACCTGCTTCTCATATTATCATAGGTATCCCTTTGCTTTATATAAGACTTGGGATATGTTTTTGGCACTGACTGAATATTGGGAGAACATGAAGGCATTAAAAGAGCCTGAAAGAAAAAAATAAGTATTGACCCAAAACAGATGTAGTATAGTGGTCAGCCTCATATAAAGTATCTATCATTCAAAGGCTAAACATGGCATACGCCATGGAAATATTCTTTTTTTTAATAGTGAATAGTTAAGTGCAAGTTTTTTTTTATTTAATTTTTTTCAGTGTTCCAAAATTCATTGTTTATGCACCACACCCAGGGCTCCATGCAATACATGCCCTCCTTAATACCCACCACCAGGCTCTTAAACGATATATGACTTGATGCTGAATTTGCATCAATCAAGCTTAAGTTGTTTTTAAAAGGAAACAACAAAAAGCCTTGCAAATCTCCAGTATTGCCTTAAATACATACAGACATAAAATTAGGTATAAATTCTTCATCTGTTGAGTTTGCATTTATAAAATGAAATTCAATGTATAACCGAAGTGCAAATTAAAATAAAAGTCAGATTTCAATTGTCAAATGAGTACGTTCATTTGATATGATGCATGATGCTATCTGGCTGAAGCCGTTAGACCACTACAGGTTGAATATAGTGCTGGCTCCTCCAGTGCATATTCCTTTTATGAAATCAGCATGAAGAAAAGCATAGCTTTGCCCACACATACTCCCTTTTCTTTGTTGGAACTACCCTGGGACCTTTGTTGACACAGCTGACTATGACATCGTCTTGTGTAGTTGATCTTTGACAATGGCAACTGTAGTAACTCTTCACAGTGCCGGCATAATAGTAAACACAAACACCAGTGGGAGCGTTAAAATCTCTGGGTGGCTCTCAGGTATCAAGAGGTGACCTTTAGACCACATGTGTTCCTATGTATATTTCACATTACCATGGACGCTGAACACAACATTAACTGTCTTATAGGACAGTTGACTCCACCTTTTGAATCCAAGAACATCTAGGGGTCTAGGGGTCCAAGTTGAGGAACTATTAGTTTCAGATGCTGAGGTCACACTTTGGAATGCTAATGCAATACCAAGTTGGAACAACTTTAGCTATTGTTATTTTTTATTTATTTATTTTTTGGTTCCAGTTCATCTATCAAGAATTAGAAAAGCACTTGTTAGGTTTCTTAGGGAATGGTACATAGGAATGGCAATTTTTTTTATAGGAGAAAAAGAATCTGAATCTGCTTGGTATGAAGCATGGAATCACTTGGGGATTTCAGGTTAGGTACAGGGACAAATGAAGACCCTAATATTAATTACTGTTAAACTTAAATCATGCTGAAATCTTGGCTGAAAAAAAAAAATCTTCAAAAGTAAAGTGTTAAATTAAAAAAAAAAAAAATTCCATTAGCCTGAGCTCAAAGGTGAATTTAATGCAGACTGCATCATTGAGTGCAGTTTTATCCCCTTCTTCCTCACTACCTCTCTAGCTGAAAAGGCCCCCAAATATTCCAGAAATGCCTTTCTTCTGAACTCATCTAAGCTCGCTGACTAAAGTCTGGAGTACTAAGTCTGAGGTTCTACTTTCTAGTTATTGATGATAATTTGATAGAAACTGAGGATCTTGAGAAATTAATAATGGTCTTAGTGCTAAGAGTCACACCTGTTTGAGTAGCATATGTTAGCATCAGTTAGTCTGTACTGGATAACATAGGTGTTGTGGTTTTGCCACTTATTATCAGGCTAAATTGGGAAGATTTCCATCTTTAACCTTATTTGTGAAATGTGTAGAATAATAGCTCCCTGAGGGTGTTGAGAGTTAAAAGAAAAAAAAAATCTGTTATAAGCATTACCCCTTGGTGTATTATAAATGGTAAGTATTGGTACCAGTGATTTTTTTTATTTGTTTTGTTTTCTGCTCCAAAAGCAATCTGTGTTAGAAATAACTTGAGAAGAACATGAAAAGCAGACAATGCTGAATTGACTTTTGAAAGAAAATCAGAATGTTTAATTTATTGTATACACAATGCTTAATTGTAAAATTTCACACTTGAGTCTCAGCCTTCATGGACCCTCTGCCCTTGCCACTTGAATCCGAGGTTCAAGGATCTGAGAAGCTGTCGCATTCAGGGACCCTTCTCAGAAAACAATGCTGTGACAGAGTCTGCAGATGATGTTCTAGAATTCTTTGCCACAAAAACAGTGATGTGCTGTGGTCTTGACTTAGAAAACACTGAGATCAGGAGTTATCAAATTCTTGCTTTATGATGGTCACTAAAAGCTTTTAAAAGTCACACAATTTATTTTTATTTTTATTTTTTTTAAGATTTATTTATTTGCTGTTTTAGAGAGTGTGAGCATGCATATGCAGGCAGGGGAGGGGCAGAGGGAGAGAGAGAGAGAGAAAATCTCAAGCCAACTCCGTGCTCCCACCCCAGGCTCGATCTCAAGACCCTGAGATCATGACCTGAGCTGAAACCAAGAGTTGGTCACTTACCTGACTGAGCCACCCAGGCACCCCAAGACACACAGTTTTTTTTGTTTGTTTGTTTGCTTTTTTTTTTTTTTTTAACAGTGTATTTTAAAGTGAATGGGCTGTGCAGAGAGAGAAAAGTAGCTGATTTCATATTTCTCCATAGAATCAGTTTTACGTGTTTTCCTTTTACTTAGCGATTTCACGGTTTCATTTAATTTCCCTTTTCATGAAGAAAATTGCATAAGCAAATCAAGTGAAAAGAAATGGACTTTACTTGTAACTTAAGCGATAAAATCATAATTACTATCAAACATTATTTCAAAACTGTGTTTCTGGCACCAGCAAAATAATTCAGAATTTGCTTTTGGCTAAAGAACTTTGGCTAAAGTTGTTTAAAGGCTGCCCTTCTAAATCTCTTTATAGCCTGTTATTTTATCAATTCTTTTTTTAAAAGAGATATTTATTTATTTATTTGAGAGAGAGAGAGCGCAAGAGAGCAGGAGCACAAGTGGCGGGGGAAGGGGGAGGACAGAAGCAGAAAGAGAAGCAGTCTCCCTGCTGAGCAGGGAGCCCAATGCAGGGCTTGATCCCAGGACCCTGGGACTATGACCAGAGCCGAAGACAGACGCTTAAGTGACTGAGCCATCCGGCGCCCCTAATTTTATCACTTCTTTTATCATTTACGTTATTAATTGTGTTACAGTAATCAATGAGTTATTAACCAAAATGCAGTAAAGTCATAGACATTTCCTGCATGGGGCTTTCCTACATATGGGAACATCTCGTATGATTCTAAGAATCTCACCAATTCCCGTGCATTTATTTTACTTCGATAAATACGTTCTCTACATAATATGGAAATGGCATATTAAATTCTCTTGGAACTGTGATGACAGACTTCCTTTGGATCGACAGGATCATGCAGACATTCGTTACACAGCAGTGGAAACAGAGCAAAGAAAAATCGAACTGCCTGCACAATAAGAAGCTGTCAGAGAAGAAGGTGAAATCTCCCCTGCATTTATTTTCTACCTTGCGCAGGTGGGTAGCAGATGACTTCTCGGTTGTCTTTCTCGATTCTGAGCACGGGCTACTCCACGGTTAGGTCCTTCAGAGCATTCTTTTCGATAGTCTCGGCATCCATGCATTTTCTATGTGACTTCAAAGAACGGACTAGGTCCTGTCGATTCCCTCCAAAGCATGGCTACTCCTTTCCGCATTCGGAGGGTTTGTTTCCGTCCCGCGCGGTTTCGATGGCGGCTCGGCGCACGTGCTCACAGTGCGCATGCTCGCGCTTTCTCTTTGCGCGGGACGGGCTGTGTGTACACGAGGTGGGCCCGGTAGCCTCGTGCAGTGGACGGAGCCTCCGCGGTGCTCTCCGCGGTGTGTCGCGCTCCTGGTTCACCCCGTATTAACTGCTGTTCCGTTTTCAAGGTCGCCAAGTTACCCTCCCCCCGGTTGTGGTAAAAGCAAATCCAAGCTGAAATCGGAGCAAGATGGGATCTCCAAAACGCACAAGCTGCTGCGGAGGACTTGTTCCAGCGCCGTCAAGACCGACGACGTGTGCGCCACCAAGTCTCACAGGACCTTTGGTCGCTCCCTGTCCAGCGACCCGAGGGCGGAGCAGACCGTGCCGGCAATTAAGTCGCACAAACTCTTGAATCGGCCCTGCCCCGCCGCCGTCAAGCAAGAGGACTGCCTCACTCTCAAGTCGCATAAACTGTTGACTCGGTCTTGTTCCGGAGACCCGCGGTGTGAGCACAACGCCGGCTTGAAGCCCCACAAACTGTTAAGCAGATCTTACTCCAGTAATCTCAGAATGGAAGAGCTGTACGGACTGAAAAGCCACAAGCTGCTCAGCAAGTCCTACTCGAGCGCTCCCAAGTCCTCCAAGACGGAGCTTTTCAAGGAACCTAACGCAGAGGGCAGGAGGCTCTCTCTCACCTCAGGGCTTATCGGTATCTTAACCCCGTCTTCATCGTCATCTTCCCAGCCTGCTGTGCGTAAATACTTTCATCCTGAGTTCCTCAGGTTTTGGGGTGGGGTGGGGGGTTCGTTTGCGCAGGTCTGGTAGAGGAAAGAAGCGAGATTTTCGTTTTTGTTTTCGTGTTTTAGAATTTACCGTTTGTTTCTTTTTGGGTGTTACGTAGCACGCCAGACACTGGCAACCGGTACCGGAACGTGCATTTTGACTCTGAAAAAATGACGCTAGCTATTGATTGACAGTCTAGTCCAAATTCCTGTCGTGGTCGTGAATGCTGCTAAAAATGGAAGGAAGTCGGTTGGATCCACAAAGCTGATCCTTTTAAGCAAGCATGGCATTTTAATGTTTTATCACGTAGGTTTATCTGGCCTCTAGTGTTCGTACGTCCGTAGTGGAGGACAAAGTTTGTCGAGTAATTAAATTCAGAGTAATGTCCTTCCTTTTCTGGATGAACGTCATTTGCCTATGAACGTCGTAACTTGCAGAGAGAAGCAACCTCTACTTCTGTATCCCAGAGCTTTGCTTAAAGGTGCTTTCAGTGTCTACTTGATAAAACTGAAGTCACTTTATCCTGAAGCTTTTTGGTGGAGATGGGGCCGGAAGGTAACGGTATTCAAGCTTAAGCCCTCTGGGTGGTATTTACGGGGAGTCAGTCTTAGCTTTTACCTTTGGAGTGATCAGCATTATAGCCGATTTCAGATAAAGAAACAGACCTCTCTTATGTATACTAATTATGCAAAACAATCGATAAATATGTTGTTTTCTTCCAGTAAATGCATGTGTGTGCTGGGGTAAGAGTGTACTTGACTCTTAACCATACATAGGGATACACCTAACAGTAGATGGCATTGATAAAAAATAAGATACATCTTCAGAAATGTGTGCTACTCTTGTATAGCTTTATTTCTAAGATTACATTGTAAATGATACCATAAAATTATACTTGTGTTAAGAAAATGTATGTAAGTATATTGATAATTTTAGGTGGATCCCTAAAAACCCATTTCCTATCAAAAGTAAGCATTAAGGACACTTAGAAAATAAGGTTGAAGTGTTAACATAGAAAGTTTCCCATGAGAGTTTCACGTAAAAAAGATAATTTCACGTATTCTGTAAAAGAAAGTATCTTACTATCTTCTGTATAATTAAGCCTGATACAGTACAGTAGTTTAGTGGTGTACCCCCTCAGTAGCTGTCTCATATATCCTTGGAGGAATAATTCTCATTGTAAAATAAGATGGAAATAATCTAAATGAGGAGATGGGAGCATTTGACAGTAAGTAGTAGTGGAAACGAGCTTTTGTGATCATTTAAAAATGCCAGTCATTTTTACTAGAAGATCAAAAATTAAGAATGCTGTTGGGTTAGCTTAGACAAGGCTTGTAATAATGGCAGAAAGTATATTATAATAAAGAAAAATCTTGATGTCATGTTCAGTGATTTAATTCATATTACAGGTGACCTTAGATCACACACTTGTATTCACTGTTTCAAAAAGTCAAAGGCTGTAATTCATCTATTCTCTGAGTTAAAAAATTGTTTTCTTCTTTTACTTTGCTTTTTTATAGCCAAATGGTGCCAAATGCATTCCAATACGAGACCGCGGCTTCCTAGTGCAGGTAAGATCCAAGCAAGCCATCCATTGCAGAAATATTTGAGCTTTTAATGGGTTTTCAAATTATCTATGAACTTGACTTAATTATTTCTCTTTATTATTTTTTTTTTCAGACAATTGAGTTTGCTGAACAGCGGATCCCTGTATTGAATGAATACTGTGTGGTTTGTGATGAGCCACATGTGTTTCAAAATGGCCCTATGCTTAGGGTAAGTTCTCATTGATAGAATTTCAGTGTTGATATAGGATATAAAAGGGTTAAGATATAAAAATAAAGAAGTATATAACTTGATTTACAGTGCATACTGTCTAATGAGCTAATTATTTAATACACACAGTGGTGTAATTTTGGCAAATGAATCACTATTTGTGAAGGAATCTGTGGAAGACAAGTTGTTTCATATTAGGAAAATATTTCCTAGCGTATTTCTTATATGTGCATATCTATCATCTCTCTTTCCTTTCATCTATTTATATCTGTTTTAATATCAATAGATGTAGATGTAGGTGGATAGAAAGATAAATGTAGCTATAGATGTGTATATGTAAACTTATGAACAGTGTTTCTTCAAAACCACACAATTTAAGATGCTTACCAGGAGAGAAAAGAATAGAAGACAGAAGAGTTACGCAATAGCACACAGAGAATCTGAATTTTAATGATTTCCAAAAAATGCCAGCTCACTGACACTTTTGGGGCATTACTGAGGGAGTATAGAAATAAGAATCAATGTGTATATGTTCCCACAAAAAATAAATCTTTCCATTTATTTAGATATGTAGTTTGGGAGGAATGATCCGATTTCAAGTTTTTCTATAATTTTAAAATTGAGATAAAATTCATATAACATGTGATTCACTCTTTTAATGTATACAATTCAGTAGTTTTTAGTTTATTCACAGTGTTGTGGAACCATTACCACTGTCTAATTCCAGAACATTTGCATTACCCAGAAATGAAATCCATAACTGTTAGTGGTCATTTCCAATCTTTTCCTCCTCTCATCCTCTGGCAACCATTAATCTATTTTTTGTTTCTATGAATTTGCCTATTCTGGACATTTCATATAAATGGAATCATACATTATGTGGCCTTTTGCTTTTGGCTTCTCACTTAATATAATGTTTTCAAGGTTCATCCAGGTAGCATGTATCAGTCTCTATTTCTTTCTTTCTTTTTTTTGGGGGGGGAGGTGTAATAATATTACATTACATGGGTATATGACACACATTTTCCATTCATCATTTAATGGAATTGCTGGTACATATGCTAACTTTAAGTGTTTGAGAAACTACCGAACTGTTTTTGACAGTGGCTGTACCACTTTATTTTCCCACAAGCAGTGTATGATGTTTCTCCACATCTTCTTCAACCCTCGTGATACTTGTTTTTATATAGCATCTGAGTGTGTGTGAAGTGGTATTTCATTGTCGCTCAGATTTGCACTTCCCAAATGATTAGTCATTTTGAGCATTTTATCGTGTGCTTATTGGCCACTTGTGCATCTACTTTGGATAAATGTCTGTTTATATTCGTTGCCTGTTTTTAACTGGATTATTTCTCTTTTGTTGTTTAGTTGTTAGAGTTCTTTATACGTGTGTGTGTGTGTGTGTGTGTGTGTGTGTGTGTGTATATTCTGAATACTAAATTTTATTAGATGTGTGATTTGCAGATATTCTCCTATTTTGTGGTTTTTCTTTTTAACCTCTTGGTAGCATCCTGTGACACACAAAAGTTTTAAATTTTAATGGAGCCCATATTTATCAGTTGATCTGTTGCCTAATCCAAGTTCACAAAGATTCACACCTATATTTTCTCTTATGTTTTATAATTTCTGTCTTACAATTAAGTCATTGATCCTTTTTGAGTTAATTTTTGTGTATGGTGTAAGGTTGGGTTCTAAATTAATTCTTTTGTATGTAGCTATTCAGTTGCCTCAGCACTGTTAGTTGAAAAGAGCTTTCTCCTTTGGATGATCGTGGCACCCTTGTTGAAAATCATTTGACTGTAGATGTATTGGTTTATTTGGACTCTTAATTTTGTTCCACTGACCTGTATGTGTATCCTTCCATCTGTGCTACACTGTCTTGATTACTGCAGCTCTGCAGTAAGTTTGGGAAGCAAGAAGTGTGTGTCCTCCAACTTCATTTTCCTTTTATAAGGTAGTTTTCACTGTTCGGGCTCCCTTGCATTTCTATATGAATCTTAAAGTCAGCTTGTTCATTTCTGCCCCCCCCCAAAAAAAAAAAAAAAGAAAAGAAAAAAAAGAAAGAAAGAAAAGGCAGGGAATTTTATAGGTTTGCATTGGATCCATAGGCCAGTTTGGGAAATATTGCTGTCTTAACAATTTTAACCCTTTCAATCCATGAACACAAGAAGTTTTTCCATTTATTTGGATCTTTAAAATATCTTTCTACACTAGGTTGTAGTTTTCATTATTCAGGTCTTACACATCCTTTGATAAATTTATTTTTTGTTAGTTTATTCTTGTCACTCTAATCAACATTGTACTAGAGGACATAGCCAGGGCAATTAGGTAAGAAAAAATATTAGAAGGTATTTAGGTAAGAAAGGAAAAACTAAAACGATCCTCATTTGCGGATGACATATGAGTGCTGTATGCTAGACCCTGTATGGATAGATATTTTGCATATTGCTTCCTTATTTGATTTTCACAAAACTCTTGTGGTTTATGTGTTTTTTCGCTCATTTGCTCATGCAAATAGGATTAAGATCGAAAAAGATCAATTTGTTCAGCATCACCAAGCCAGTATGGGTAGAAGCTGGACTTTGAGACTATTTCTGCCTGTCTTCAAAACTTCATAAATGCTTATTGAAGGCTTCCTCAGTATAAGGCACCAAGCTAGATTCTTTTGTACTTTTTAAGAGAAATTTGTCCTGTTCTTGGGAATTTATATTTGAAAAGACAAGTTATAAAGCCTAGAAAGAGAAAATTTTGTCAGAACTTGTTTGCATTTCAGGATGTATTCTTTAAGAAACATGTAATAACCATTTGTGATCATGATCTTGTGTCAAAGTCTAAGACATATTTAATTTTACTTGTTTATGGGAAACATATATATAAAAAAATTTATCTCACTGCTCATACACTATTCTTTGTCAATCAGCTTTTTTTTTTTCTCAAAGAGATACATACAATGTTACTCTGAAACCCAAATTAACTAAATCGGTGTTTATTTATTAAATATTGGGGCCAGTTTGTTATTTTGATGTGATACATGGAAGCGTGTAGTTACGATGAGAATAAGGAGAATCCTTTGGTCATTTCAGTTTATCCCATCAGAAGGTCCATCTTTATTTTGTTAGTGTTCATGTGTGGATCTTGATCTGTTGCATGATCAGTGGCAATGCGATCTTCACTCCAGAAGGTTATAATAATGTTATTGATGGCACCTGCTTTTTGAGTGCTACTTTTATGTGATCATGTTCAAAGTGTTTTACATGGATTATTATTTGATTTAGTCCTCTCATGATAACCCTGTGAGATGGGTATTATTATTACCCCTGTTTTACAGATGACGAGAACAGTAATTTATTTACTATCAACGTGGCTAGTAAGTGATAGAAATGAGACTCAAACCCTGGCAGAATGCACCAAGGCCACAGTTCTTTATCAGGATGCTACTCTTGACTCATGTATTTGAACTGACTACTTTCACATCCTGGATATTTTCTGCACGTGTTGTGGTCCTTGTGGTTCAGTTACTGGCAGTTCATTCCGATAGTAAGTGATAGAAGTATCCTGATTGCTATCAGTATTCTCTGTGCCTTGCTTCAATTTTTGTTTTACTTTAACTGTTTTATTCTGCACCAGAATTTCTTTCTAGAAGTGGAAGTTCTTTTGTAAATAACGATGTTTTCTAAGTAAGTATAGCTAGTTTTCTGCTGGTTTTATGTTGTTGCCATTCAGACTGATATCTAAGAAATCAGAAAACCTACTTGGGTTTCTTAAATAGAAAGATAAGTGACAGCTGAAATTAAATGAGGAAATGGAAGTCAAAGGAAGAGAAGTAAACAAAGAACTGCCTCTTGATTGTCTTAACCGGATATTTAACCTAAATCCGGCATACTCATTTTTTTCTGTATCTCTCTCATATTTACATTGTAATATGTTTTACTGTAATTTTAATAGAAATGTATAAAATTAGTGTACCTAAAATTTCTTATGGAGTATTAATCACTAAACTGACTCTTTGACCATTTATTCAGCACAGATGACACATTACAAACTGTAGTAACTCCTAGAGATGTAAAGAGGAGACATTATATCCCAGTGAGTGATTAAATAAGTCAGATAAAACTCAGGGTTCCAGAGAATTCTATATCTAATATTCATTATGTTTGTTAGATCTCTTTCATTCAAAATTCAAAGTGTGTCTTACATTTTTTCTCTTTTGTCTAAGCATGATTATTTATTGAATGACATAAGTTGCCCTTTACTGCTATTTCTCAGAAGTCCTAACATTTTGGTCACTACTTGTACTCTTCTGTCACTTTACTCAGAGGTCTGGGTAAGTGTGCCATACTTTCTGAAACATGGGTACCTACCATGCTTACTGATTTAGAAATACCACAATGATCCACTTATCTCTTTGTTCACAAAGGTTATAAATGTCACTCCCAGGCATGAGGCCTGACATGTAAAACTTTGCAAATGCATAAAACTCACATTAACATCACAAGGATTGTTTTATAGTGTCCTGGATTTCCCATGTGGCAGTGCAGTTCAGATTATGATCAGAAAACCAAACCCAAACCCAATAGGTAGTTCTCTACATTTTGGAATCAACTAGAGTATTAAGACAGCCAACTGTTGATGCTTTAAAATGTTGATTTTTGTCTTCATCCAGTGTTTTTGGAAGACACAAAAATAAGGATTTATTGCCAGACTCACCACTGTTTTCTAAGCCTCTTCCTAGTGCCCTTGTCTTTATGTTATACTCAAACTGAATACCATGATCAATGCAATTGTTTGTCTTCTTTTTTGAACCCTGTGGAAGGGCTGCTGAACTGGGTTGGAGAAAACCATGCATATGGTTGTAGGGATTAGGATCTCTATAGTTAGAAATTTATCATTGGTACTTGGCAGTCATTCTGTATGTCCCTGGCTAGTAGACTTTCCCATTTCCCAGATCAACATATGACATGAAAATTATGGACCTCATTTTCTTCTCCTGTCATGTGAAA